GCCCCCATGATCCCCTCCACCCCGCATCTGCCCCACCTTCAGGCCTTCCCCATACTATTTTCTATGTCCTCGGCTTATGCATTTGTAAATGAGCTGGTCTATCTCCGAAGTATTAGTTAGGATGTGACCAAATGTAGAGATCGATTAAAGAACAAGTTAAAAGTTTAAATAGCTTTTCACTGCTGTGCATTTATTAGATTCTGAAAGTGATTATAATACCTTTGATTTCCTCCCCATTTTAATTTCAGTCCATTGAATGTAGTTATACACAATTCATTTTTGCTTTTAAAAGTCAAACCATTGACATAAATGGTTAAATAGTAAAGCTTTTCTTTTCTTTGATTAGTCTAGACTTAAAAAACACTAAACCCTGAGACACAGTTGTACAGATCTCATCTGAGACCCTGCAGATCTGTGACTTTACCTGCAAGTGGGCCTCTATGGGGTTTTCAGGGTGCCGCAGGGCACTCCGCTGTTCTATTCTTCCCTTGTGCTTAAGTCACTTTAATATTCATTATTTACTCTACCTAATCATGATGTAATTTGCCTTCTTTGTCAGTTATAGATTAAAAGATCTTTCCATTTGTCTCAGAAACAGGTAAAAAAAAACTACTCGGAGTAGATAATATTCCTCTGTTATATCTATAGTATTTAAATATTTCCCTACTCTTTCTACTGAGACATATGAAACTTTACCCCAAAACTTCTTTAAATTAATTTAATCATTATTTAAAGGGATATTTATAGAACCTTTCAGTTCACAAATCCCTAGATGTCAACAGCCCTTGACTAACCACACAAAGAAGGAAGCTCAGGACTAGTGCAGGCCCACCTCCCTGGGAGCCAGCTGGGACAAACATGGCCTTACGCTGATTTTAGACTCAGAATGTAGCTTATTCACATTTTATAAATATGAACTATCCAAAAACCACATTTATTACAAATCTATGGATAAGTGAGGTCATTTGTTTCAAGCTTGTTAGAATTTTCCTTTGGGACTTTATGGGGGATGTGGTCCCCCTCATATGACTTCCTGAACCGCAGAAGTAAGAAAGTTAAAATCTATACCTCTCAGAGACCTCTGAATCTAGGGTTCAAGAATTAGGTTCTGCAATCAGATGGGGTGCACTAAATTTGAAGTTCTCTTTCAGTTTCTGCTGATTTGCTGGCAGGAATCAAGCCTGCCTGCTGCAGAAGAGGCCCCCAGGCCTTTTAGAAGAGCTTGTTGAGACTAGGGGATAGTACAGAGACTAGGAGGTGCTGGATGGCTCTACAACTAAGTTACACCTTCCAGATGCCTGGATTGCAGCAAAGATAAGTGTTTCCAGAGCAATAGTTCTAGGACAGCTTCCTTCTTCCCGATTTCCCTAAATGTGTGGTCGAGGTAGCAGCTCCCTAGGTGGGCCAGTGTTACAGATTGTTCTGAAATTATTTCTGGGGGCTAGTCTAAAGCCCAATTCTCCATCTTTTTCAGTGATTTTCTAAGGACCAAATTTGCTGATTTAAATTACTTTCACCTTAAAACAGAATGTTTTCTGTTATCTGCGACTGAATCCTGATTGATAATAGTGATGAAACCCGGCTGGGCATGGCTCAGCGGTTGAGTGTCGACCTAGGATCCAGGGGAGCGGGGTTCGATTCCCGGTCAGGGCACATGCCGGGGTTGCAGGCTAAGCAGCCGATCAGTGACTCTCATCATTGATGTTTCTATCAGAGACTCTCCCTTCTTCTCTCTGAAATCAATAAAGATATATTTAAAAAAAAAATAGTGATGAAGCAGTAGGTTAGGTATTTAACCTACTTGGGTTTGAAGGAAGTGAGCATTGAGTTACTATTAAATGATGGTATGGTTGTAATCTATGGTAGCTGGTAGTTATTACTTGTATTACCTGGTATGAAATGCACATAGAAACATGGCTTTAGTAACTGAGTGATAAGGGCCAGCGCAGAGTATGATGACTTGACAAATAGGTAAACCAGCTGCTGCACACTGCACTGGAGAGATTAAAAAGAGAGATGAGAAATTTGGGGCTTTAAATTATCCCCTCATTGTGGTTAGAGAACCAGGGAATTTTTAGCCTTAAAAGAATCTTCTTTCTTGTGGCTGTTGGTAGCCAGAAATCAATCACAGAGTCTGGCCCTATGGCTTGTTAAATTACAACATAGGTTGAATTCAAAGGCTCGCCAGGTTTCTTATATGAAAATGTACTTACTGGGGGAGAGTAAGATTCTGAGGTTTGAGAGGTGATCCTTGGGAGGATTTGGAAAATTGTGCTTACGCCCAAGTACACCCCCTTCTCATGACAGCAGAATTGATCCCTTCTACCCGGGTTCTCGTCTTTCCTTGCTTTAAAAATCTGTGGTGAGCTTTGCTGATGCAGCCACCTTACCTGAGGATGCTCATTTGCTTTGGGTTCCATCCTATTTACATTTCTTTCAAATCCATTAGTAGAATCTGATCCCAGATACCACGGGGAACCAATTAGGAAGCCACACCAGGAAGGAAAATACTTTGCACTTCAAAACACCGCATAATTTTACTAAAAGAAACAAAGAAATGTGCTGATTCTTACAAGATTTGTAGGTATTACCATGTGCCTCATTGCACAGAAGCATCTGGCCTCAACCAAGAATGTGAGGGATACTGAAGACCACACAGTGATGCTAGTTCGAAGTCAGCTTGTGATTTGGGACCATATAGAAGATGTAATCTGTTCTCCACCAGTGACCCAATGTGTATGGGGGTCTGGACAGGAAGGGGTGCAATTGTGAATAGCACTCACTGTTCGCGGTATGTTGATCACAGTCCTGCAAAACTTGCTTTCTACCTTCTTACCGCCAGGGAATGCAAAGCTCTCATTGGTCAGGTCTAAATTCCATGTCAAGCCCCAGTACTGAGAATCGGGGCCACTCAAGACAAATGGTTTGAGAATTGGGCAGATGGTAGTTCTCCAAAGGAATATCTACTGCGATTGCCAGGAGAAGGGACAGGAATGCTGGGCAGCAACACAACAGCTGCCGTGTCATCTCGGATAAGCCCTTGCCCCAGGTATCCTATGTACCATCAAAATGCCTGAGAAATCTACCACAAGCAAACCACGACAGTTGTTTAAGATCTGTCCTTTTAAAAATGGCAGAGACTTTCTACTTAGGGCATTATCCTCATTGTAAAGATGAGAGGTTAAGTAACATGTCTAAGTGGTAGAAATGGGACTTGATACAGAGCTGTTTGACCACAAAGCCCCTACTCTTAAAAGAAAAAGACATAAAAAGGAGGTAAGTCACGCACATGCTATAAAATTCAAAAGGTACAATTAAGAGACATATAATGAAAAATAAATTTCCATTTTACAACTGCCCCTTAGGTACCAGTTTATCTGGTTGTCCGTTACCAATTTTTTGTGTATCCCATATATATATATATAATAAATATAATATATATACATATATACTAATAAACACAAATGTGCTAAAAACACAGAAAAGATAGTACCAAACATTATTTTATGGCCTGGCCGGGCATGGCTCAGTGGTTGAGAGTCAGCCTAGGATCCAGGAGATCGTGGTTCGATTCCCAGTCAGGGCACATGCCCAGGTTGTGGGCTCGATCCCCAGTTGGGGACATGCAGGAGGCAGCCGATCAATGAGGATTCTCTCATCGTTGCTGTTTCTATCTCTCTCTCTCCCCTTTCCTCTCTCTGAAATCAATAAAGATATATTTTTAAAAACACACACATTATTTTATGTTTTTTTAAACATATTCATTTACCTGTCTTGGCAATCGTTACATATTAGTACAAGTGGAGTGTCCTTATGGGTTTTGGCAATATCCACACAGTGTTTGTTGCCTCTATAGAGCTTTATTTGTGTAACTAGCCTTACTTATATATCCTTAAATTCCTTCCAATCTTTTGCTATTATAAAAACTGCTGCAATGAATACTTTTTTATATAGTGCTTTAGCTCATACTCAAGAGCAGGATATATTCCTAGAAATGGCTTTTCGAATGGGAGGGTCTGTGTGCTTTCTGCTCGTGGCCACCGCCCAGTTGCCCTCGCAGAGGCTTACTTCCGTTTGCTTTCCCGTTAGCTGTCCATGAAGGGACCTGTTCTGCATCCAGCGCCAGGTGTTAGCAAACATGTTGGTCTTTATCAGCATGATAAATGGAAATGTTATTTTCATATAGTTTTAATTCACAGCATTCCTTTTATTTTGGGTGATTTTGAGCATTTTTTTTTTTTAAGTATAAGAGTAACTTGCATTTCCAGCCCTGTTAAGTGTTCATATTCATTGTCTCATGGATTGTTAGTCTTTTCAATTTGGTTTATGGTAGTTAATTATATGTTAATGGAATAGGCTTTTAATTTTTTTCTTGTGCATTGCCAATATTATTCTTATTTGTTTACAGTGCTGTTATTTTCAGTTTGTTTATGGTTTTTGCTGTTGTATTTTAAAAAATGGTATTCTTTTTTGGTTTAAAGAGTGAGATTATGATCCCACTTTATTTTCCTTTCCAGATGAGAAGACTTCCCATTTTAACAACTGCAATGTTGCCTTCTTGAGAAGATTCTCAAAGATAACATAACAGTTCTATCTTCCATGTGTCTCTCAGTGCCTTGGCACCTGTTTCCTCAGAATGGGCCCTTGTTTATTTCTTAATTTATTCACTTATTTTTATTGAGATATAATTGGCATGTAACATTGTGTAAGTTTAAGGCTTTCTGCACGTTGATTTGATATATGTTGTGCACCTTAAACTTACATGTCAATTTACATAATGCTACATGTCAATTTATATAATGCATAAAATGTGAAACAGCCTCAGAGGGGGACAGTGATTTCCAATGGCACACAGCGGGTAAGTGAGGAACCAGGGGCCGGAACAATGCTACCCTGCTGGCTGTCAGAAATGGGGAATGCTAGGGGCAGTGGTTGGGGCCTCAGAGATCGGAGACCTCAGAGGTGAGCAGGCTGGGATGGAAAGAGGAAGAGCGGACAAGGGTAATGCTGCCACTCAGGTGACTTGGAGCCTGGGCTGGATCCTCTTAGGATGCACCCACAGGGGCAGCCCCAGTGTAGAGGACAAGCTGGGGTGGGTGCAGCAGGACAGAATGTGGGGACTCCCTTCCTTAAGGCACTGGGGTAGTTCATTTGAAGAGGACAAGTGGACTGACTGGTCAGAGGGAATGCAAGATCCCACGTTTCCCGCCAGCTAAGCAGCCTTGGGCCAGCGCCCTCTGGAAGATCAGGATTTCATCTAGGTCCGCAAGAGGGGACGGACGTATAGGGAGAGCCTGCCCCTGCATCTGCTTAGACACACTCGCACCCTGACCTGCACAGCAGCCCTCTACGCGGACTCCTTCAGACACATGGATTGGGCTCAGGTCTCACTGCTACACCCTGATGGAGAGGGAAGGAGCCAGAGGCAGGGTCCGGTCTGAGACGGCTTGGAGCCCCCAGAATTCTGTCTTCTGTCTATTCATCTTCTGGGTATTTTCCCCAAGGCTCAGCTGGTCTTGAGTGTTCCTGCCAACGAATGGCCCAGGCAGCCAGTGACCACATGAAAAACTTTGCCTGTTGTTTTGACACTGGTGGCTCTCAGGATGATGGCAACTGTTCAAAAGGATTGTATGCACTGCTGAGATTTTATGTACCTAATCTTTTAAAAATAAACCCTAGATTTTCTAAAGCATGTTATGTCACCTAGTTTGAACTTGATAAAAGGCATGAAAGCAATTTAAAAAATTGTGTGTTCCTCTGAGTATAAGTACATGGACAGATTTTTGAGACCATATACTTCAGATATCCTGAACTTCATATTTTATCAAAGATGTTGTTTCAAAAACTTGATTATTGGATCATTAAGTGTTGTGTCTAAAAAGATTTTTACCAAGGTTTAAAATGAAATAAATAAGTAGACAAAATACCTTAATATTGATTAGTAACAAGATCTGTTAGAAAATATATGTAGTATTATGTAGTATTGTGTACTCAGCCTAGTAATCCAAATATATTTTTTATAGTAAAAACTCATAGTACTTTCTGGATTCTTATCAAGTGCAATAAAAATTTAATTTGCTTTGCAACCCTTTTCTGACCCAAATTGAAAAATAGAAAATTAGGAAAGTAATCACTGTTATTATTAACAGGAAATGACATTTGCGTTCCAATTTGGTAAAGTAATTTATGCGGTTATGGAGAATTGAGCCTTAGTGGAGACTGCAAGGTTCAGAGGTCAGACACAGCTGGTGCCAGTTCTGCTTCTGCCACTAATTGCTCTGTATTTAGGGATAGTTACCTAACATCTCTGAGCTCTCACAGTCTTTTCTTATGTAAAATAGGGATAATAAAAACTACTTGGAAGGTAGCGGAAGGGATCAAGGCACATAGCAATCACTCAACAATGGTACTGTTTATTATTATGAATGACATGGAAAATGAATGGTTAGCCAAGAGCAAAATGTACTTCCTTTGAATGGGAAATAATGAGGCTACTGATCTAAAGCTGATTACAGTTACTGTAATGTAAATTAAACTATCATCTCTTTGAATTATAGAAATTACTTTATAGGATAGAAACAATTTGGAGTTTGTAGGTGACTTTATAGTAGAAAATCAATGCCTCCTGGATGGAAATATTGCCCCCAAAGTTGGAAACATTATGTGTTCCTGAGCAAGTCTCTCAGCCACACTCTGCCAGTGTTGTTATTTCTAAAACACTAGATGTGGGGAGCCATTTTTAGGCTAACATTAAAAAAGACATAATGGTTTTATTTTGGAAAAATCGATTCATCAATATATTTTTCTTCATGGCTATAAAAGTATTTAAAAATGAAAAAATAAAGTAGTAAAAAATCTTGTTATTTATTTTTTTTCTTGGATGATGAAGTGCTCATTCAGGCCCTCTTGGAAAAGATTACTTTGTGCTCTGGTCAAGGTGGCCTATTTTCTTTTTGTGTTGAAGGGCTTTGAAATTAGAAGTGATTTGTATTTTCCCAGGGAGTGTCCACTTGGGAAAGAAAGAAAATTATATGCCTGAAGAATATGGCTGGCCAATTTATTGTTGTTTATGTCTGTGCTAGGCCTGAAAGGAAATACATAGAGTTCAAGTTTTATTTTTTTTTTCTGGGAAATATAGTGACCCATTTTATTTGATGATAGAATAATATTCTTTCCCCTGTTTCAGGGTGTTGAAAAATGAATTCTTTGAGCATGAATTCTTTGATCTTGAATTCTTGGAGCTCGCAATTTGAACCAAACCACATACTTGGGTAAGAAATGGAGGAAAGAGAACAAATCAGAAGTCCTTTCTCACAAGAAGGTTTCAATAAATATGAGTTTCTCCTCTTCTGAACAATAGCTTTAACATGTTTTGATTCCTCTCAAGTGTTCATTTTGGCAAATTGTCTACATAAGTAAGTTCTTCCCTCTGAAATTATTTCATATTCATATGGACTGTATTCTGTGTCCTGTATGGGAAAATCAGTATCTCAGTCTCTTGGGATAGTATACAGTACAAGACTGTGATCAAGTAGAATGTGTGCCCTGGCCAGTGTGGCTCAATGGTTGGCTCACATACTGGAGGGTCTCGGGTTTGATTCCTGGTCAAGGGCATGTACCTGGGTTACAGATTGATTCCCTGGCTCCATGCGGGAGGCAACCAATTGATGTGACTCACATTGATGTTTCTCTCTCTCCCTCCCTCTTTCTCCCTCTCTCTCTCTCCTCTCCTTCCCTCCCTTCCAATCTCTTTAAAAATCAATGGAAGAATATCCTCAGGTGAGGATTAACCAGAAAAAAAAAGTTTGTAGTTGCAATTATCCTTGGATCAAAAGGAGTTTGCAGTGGACACACAAAATAAATCGATTTGTAAATTATAGATAGTAGAGTCAAAGAGTAATCTTTAAAACCTAATGTTGGCATAAGTATTTCATTCACTTGTGCTAGATGCCCTCTCCTGGTCAATGTGAGTAATGTTCAGGAGCTTATTCTTTCTAGATTCTGCTTTGCTATAAAATGTATTACGTGCAAATGCACATGTAGTCCATGCCGGGCTTCCTATATGAGGAAAGAAACCTGAAGATGAGTGACTTTTAACTTTACAAAAGTTGGTATCTTATTTCCCTCCTTTACCCTAGCACTTTTTTAGCCTTGTATGGTAGGATAATACTTTTGTTTGTTAACTGCTGTTCTGTTCTTTTTCTCGTGACCTCACCATCAGTCCAAGGGGAGGGATCCTGCATATGGCCTGTTGGTGCATGACAGGAGTGATGTGTGGAACAAGAAGCCAGCCAAGGACCTGAGCAGATCGGTAAGTGAACCTCTTCTGACTCTCCCATGTGTACTCATACCACCGCAGCATCTGTGTGAGCCCTAGGGGCATTAAAGCCTGGGGAAAGGGGGACACCCCAGTGTGATTGAGTGTTAAACCTAAGTAGCTGTGAAATCACTGAATTTTGCTCATTTTACCTTAAGTTTTTAGTACCAGGTAGAATGTGGGCCTCAGAACCAGAAGTTATATGAAATTTATTACTGATAGATGATATCTTCATAAGCCTGTTTAAAATCTGTGATTGAATTAGGAACTCTCATACCTCATGATTTCAATAGGTAGGAAAACACAATTTTTAATCATGGAGCTTAGCATATCAGAGTTGACAGACTGCAGATGTCCGCTAGTCCAGTTTCTAATCTAGGATATACTTGAACTTTCAATCTCTTATGAGAGGATGAGGTAAGTGTATTTCCCCAGACAAAGAACAGGCTTGTTTACTGTTTGTTAAAAAAGCAGTGGGTTTCCCAAGTTCACTGTTCTTTAGCTGTGATGCAACCCACTGTATGCATCGAGTTCCATCTGGACATATTGGGTCATGCTGATGGGACCTGGGGGTGGGGAGAACCAATATAAATATGCTGATGCTCATGCACTTGCTGTGCCACGAGGAGCAGAGTTTTGTGTTTCTGGTTCAGGAGTCTCATGTCTTCAGCCAGCACTCATGGAAGAGCTAACTTATTAGTTTGTAAGTAGGGTAAAATCAAATCCTAGACCTGAGAATAACCTCCCCCCTAAGTTGTAAATATTTTTTCACTGTACTATTCTACAATTAATATTTTTACCTTCTTTATAAGTTAATTAATGTATCTTATTGAACTATCCTGCACTGATGATAAGCTATTTATAGAAATCAAACAATAGAAAAATATTGAATATGAAAATATTTTAATCTAACAAATAGTATATTTCTTCTCAGAAAGCAAAATTTTAGTAAGGCATGCTGTACTCTGTGCTCTTCCAAACAGGAAAATAGCGAAATTCCAGCATAGATTTGATAACTCTCTGTTTCCTGAACTAAGATTTTGAATGAGAAAAGGGAAAATAGTTTTTGTTTCTATGAAAATTAACTTGATATAAATAAACCCCTAAAATTGCTATTGAATTACATGTGGACAATTAGTGTAAAAAATTGGGAGAGGGAAGAATTATTTTAATCTAGAAAGGTTTTACACTCAGATTGCTTTACAACTATCTTCAAAATCTCCATCCACCTTAAAGAAATAAAAATTAGAAATTATAGATAATGCATGATGAAGTGGTTTATTTTCTTTTAAACCAGCATGTATCCAATCATTCGACTATTGACTATATATCAAAAGACTGGGAATAAATGTGCATTCATTTGCACAATGGTGAATAAATGTGTATTTTTAAGTTAAAAAATTAAAGGTAAGCATTGTTTTTTATGAATAAGTACTTAACAGATTTTTTTATTAATTGGCAACTATTGATGCAGACTGCATCAGTATTTCTACTGTGTGGGACAGTTAGAATCCGTTAGAAGTTAAAAGTTAAGTATGGGTTCTTTTATTTTCATAAAACATTCTATATGGAACAATTTTATAGGACTAACAGAATGGAATAATCGGTGTGTACAGACTTTCCCGTGCCTCTCTCATATACACATTCACGTCTGAAGAGGAGTCAGAGTCTAATTCCCTTGTTCTTCCCTATGTGAGAGAAAGAACGGGGAGAAGTGAGCTGATCCAACAAAGCGCCGTCTGTGGTCCTTGCTCCAGGACATTCTTGTAGGCAGGCGGCAGCAGCGGTTGCTCAGAAAGGGGCCGAGCCCTGGTGCTCTGGGCTCTGAGACCAGGAGACTGGAGGCATCTGCCTCACCCTCAGGCGCCAGGCTCTCCCTGGAGAAAACTGCCTGAGGGATGACCAACATGTAGGAAGGTGCAGTGCAGTGCGGGGAGGGGTTGAAAAGTATACGCCAAGATTCAAATCTATAACAAAGTGGAGCTTCTTTGTTCTTTAAAACTGTCATCTTGCCTTGGACACCCTATTCTCGCTGGTGGCAGAAAAATAATTGCACTTGCCAATTAAAGGCAAGTTATTCTCTTAAAATTCACATTTCTTATTGGGAATCTTCCACTTCCAAGATTTTTACTCCCTTTCTTTCTGTCCAAACTGCCATCTGGATGTGAGGAGAAGCTAATGCAGCCCAGAGCATTGGATAAAGGCAGCTTCTTGCTCACCAGCCTTTGCTGAGATCCCCTTACCTTGCCTTGTTCCTGGGAGAGCTGTGCTGGGTCTGCTGAACTGTGGCTGGTCTTGTCTGAACTGGTGCTGTGGTGTTGGGCTGGCATTTACCAGTCAGTGATCATGGGTTTAGCCATTGCTTTTATGTACAATGACCCCTGTGCCACAAGCCTCCTTGATCAGCTAGGCCTGCCAGTCTTGTCCCTGAGTGCCCCACGGGAAAGCTCCAGAACCTTTGCCTGCTTCTTGCGCACTTCACTGCAGGGTGCAGTATTTTGTGAGATAACTCTAGGTTCCTCCCTCAGTCATTGCTCCTCTGCTCATATGAACCCTCTTCCTCCAACGCCAAGCTGGATCTGGAGCTTTGCTAAGGAATGTAGTCTCCTTGACTGGCTTTGTGGATTTAGAGCACTAGCTCCAGTGCTCTTGAATCGACCCTCAGCTATTTGATACCTGTCGTCCTCTAACCCCAGAGACACCGACCCTGAGCGGGGAGCTAGAATACTTGCATCTGACCACGTGCCCAGCTCTCACCCTTCTGGGCTCTGCTCCACAGCATTTGGAAGCATCTTTCCCTATTTCTATTGGATGGAGCCTTTTTTTACATCATATCTTCATTCCTTTCTTTACTACGGCTAACAATAAATATGCTCAGGTCCTCATCCTCATGTTTTGTTCTTAATAAGGAAGTTTAGATTTATTTTTTTAAAACTTTCTGTTTCAACAAGGCCTGGATTTCAGTGCTATTAGTTCTCAGAGGATCAAAAGAGTCTGCTTTTAGATTCAAATCTCAGCGATGGCATATTTAATCAAGGAATATCTATCTACTACTCCTGCCCTGGGAAAGTGAAACTCTGGGTTTAGTATTATTTGCTGAAAGACAGTAGTGGAGGGGGAAAACTTGATAACTGTGAGGGAAAATGCATTAAGTCAATTCTCATTAGATGTTAAAAATCATCAGTCATTAGGGAGATGTGAGGAAACCATGATGAGATACTACAACCCACCTATTAGAGTGGTTATAATTAAAGGACTAATCATATCATGCATTGGTAAGGATGTGGAGGAACTTTAACTTTTATTTATTGCTGTTGGCAATATAAAGTGATGTAACTACTTTGGAAAGCAATTTAGCAGTTAAATATAGACTTACCATATAAACCAGCCTTCTTGTAGGCATTTATTCAAGAGAAAGGAAAGCATATATCTAGACAAAGACTTATAGACAAATGTTTACAGTAGCTTTAGTTGTAATAGTCAGAAACTGAAAACAACCCAAATATTTATCAACAGGTGAATGGATTACCAAAATTTGGTGTATACATGCAAAGGACTACTACTCAGCAATAAAAAGAACTGAACTATTGATTAACACAAAGACATGGGTGAATCTCAAAATCCTGATGTCGAGTGAAAGAAGGCAAACAAAAAGAGTATGTACTGTATGGTTCCATTTATATAAAACTCTAGAAAGTGCAGAGAATATATAGTGTCAGAAGGTTATTAGTGGTTGTCTGAGGATGGTGGGTTCAGGTAAGTGGGAAGGAGGGCGGGATACAAAAGGACACAAGGAACCTTTCAGAGGTGATGGACATGCTCACCACCTTGACCATGCATTGATTTCATGTGCATACACATGTTAGATGCATCATTATAACAAGCTTGTCTCTTGACTCTGATTTTCTAAAATCCTCCAAGCTGCCCATCTGTAAGGGTAAAGAGAAAGAAAGATCCCCTATTACTATTCTGATAATAAAAACATTTGACTTATGCATTTCCTATTAATCTGTTGATAAAGCTGAGAACAGCGAATTCCTTCTTATGACTTGCTATTAGGCCAAATAACTCTAATTCTTCAGACTTTTCTTCAGAGTATTGTTCTCTGAACTTTGAACTTGTGCTCACCTCTCTCTAAGTTCTATTCTTCCAAGTAAGAGGTCCTTTGAAGAAGAGGTCATTTACTAACATCAAATGTGAAGAGCATACTTACTAAACATTGAACAGATTTTAGCTGGTGTATCTAACATATAAGCCACTTCCTAAAATTTAGTAAATTGCTAAATGTTTATGTGAGTCATACTTTGTAATTTTGATTTTTAAAACTATATACAAAGTGCCACTTATAGGGAAGACCCAAATACTACATGTCTATGACCAGAACAACTTTATTCCTATAAGATCATCAGCCTCCAAACAATGGATGTTAGGGAGCAGAGAAAGTATCTGATTTTTAGCTTGAAACTGGGCAGTATGCCTGCAAGTACTTGATTGGTTTAATAGTCTTCAACTGATACATTGGATGATTATTCTGGAATTTCTGATGCATGGATTGTGTGTTCTGCCTTCTCTCTTCACATACCCACCAAGAGCCCTCAATTTTAACAAAAATAAAATTAATGTACTTTCCTCTCATACTACAAGAATGCTAGACAAATGTTATCTTGGTACCCAAAATGCTTTTATAAGGGGCTAGGAGTGTATGCTTATTTCTAAATTTCAATTTAAAAATTATATTTTTAAATCAACCAAAACATATTGAGGCCTATTAGGTATAATCTATCAAACTAAGTATTATTAGGCCAACAAATATAAAAAGCCATCTTTGCCATCAAAGAGTATGAAATGTAGCGAGAGGTAAGGTGCAAACATTTTAAATGAGAGAAATTAAAAACAGAATAAAAACGTAAAATAACTGTTCGTTACAAATGGAAGAGGTACCTCTCAGAAGGCAGTACATGGTGAAGTGTGCAAGGAACATTCCAGAGAGCGGTTGCCATGGGAAATCAGGGGTTCCCCATCATCTGAGCTAGCTGGGGAAGCTTTTCTTCAAGGCAGTAGGGCTGAAGTTTGGCCTCACAGGGTTGTATAACATGCACCAAATGTTTGGCGAGACCTAGGAAACACACAATTGCTTTTAATAAATTGTTGGGCCGACGTTCTCTGTTCGGAGAGTCAATATGTTCAAGGAATGCACTTTGCCAGTAAAAAATGGGCCCCCTTAGATGGTGAGGTTGACAACTCTGCCAGTGGGCTGCGCTCCTCCCGGGCCAAACACACAGTGTGACTGAAGCCTGAAGGAGCCGGTCAGAAATAGCTCGCCTGTCGGAACCGGGAGGTGTCTGTGGGACTGTGTGCCGGAGCACCTGTGCCCACCCATGTCTGGACGTCGTTATTAGTCCTTCGTTTTCCCAAGTGGTGCACTGGTTCACAGATGTTACTGGAGGGAAAGAAAATGTTCAGTGTTTATGCAGCAAATCTGCTCTGAAGAAACCATTATGCTCAAGTGAGGAAATGCCATAGTTATTTTGGTGTTCCTTTAATTTTGGAAGTCTGTATTATTTGCAGGGCTGACCAAAAGGCTTTTAAAAAAATCCACAAATAAACATTAAATTCCTGTTTAATATGGTGGATGTTACTGGGTTTTGAAAAACAAAAGAACAGTCAGTCACCCTTGTTCTCATCCAAGGAGCTAGAGGTGCTTCTGGTAGCCCAGAAACCTCCTGACAGCAGCCTTACCTTGGCTCTGAGCTCCAATACGCACCTCGGAAAGGAGGCTCTGCAGGAGGCCTTTTCTGTTCTTTAGGTTTCTGAAACTGGCAGCAAAGAGCAGAGGGAGAGAAAGCTAAGAAGAGGCTTCCCAAATCAAGCTCTCATCAGCAGCCGAGGAATTTCCACCTCAAAAAATTCTCTCTAACCCTTTTTAACTTAAGTCTTTTCTGAGCTGGATACATAGAGAAGAATGCATTTGAGTTCTTTACCCTTCTTAATGCCTATGAAAATGTTTATTATGTCTCAGGAACTACAGACAGAGGAATGGTAATTTATAATTTTCTTCACACACTTGGAACCCGTGTTAATTGGCAAACTGAAGTAAGAATATGCTCATTTGGGGTCATTTGCTCTTGGATGAGTTTGAGTGAAAGTTGATGCAAACTCCTCCCTGAGGATTGTTGCATGGGGCTAGGTTGGAGTTATGAGAGGGTGCTTTTTGTCCTTGGTTAGCTCTGATCTTAAATTCTATTGAATTTCTTATCTCCACTCTTCATTCCACCCAGTGTGACACTGACTCATAGTCCCCTAAATACCACTGACCGAGGGGTTGTTTTGGAGAATTTCCTGAGTATTTGGAACAAAGGGTATGGGTAAGATGGGTGGAGCACTCCACACTGAATATTAGGCATTTGTGTTTGTAGAAATACTCCAGATATTTCTATAACAAGACGCTCTCTTTTCTAAAAGCCCTATCCTCCCCTGATACTGCATCTTTCATATCATTCTTCAGATCTCCTTGCCCCCTCTTTAAAGCTTTTCTGGCCCCCAAATTCAAGATTCCCGTAGAGTAGTTCCTTTCTCAAACTTGCGCCAGAACGTGCCATCCAATAGAACTTCCTGTGGTGATGGAAACGCTCTATAATCTGCACTGTACAATATGGTAGCCACATGTGGCTGCTGAGCACTTGAAACGAATTAAAGGTCACACTTAATTTTAATTAATTTCTATTTACATTCAATAGCTACATGCGGCTAGTAATAATATTGGATAGCATCACTCCAAACCATCCAACACTGACCAAGAAAGAGGCCACATTTTCCAAGCTGGACAGACTTATTAAAAGGTTTTTCTCAGAACAGATATGTAAAAACAGGAATAGTTAAAAAACAGGAATATAAAAAGCAGGAATAGTTTTATTTCTTTCCACTTACTAAATATCTAATATGTGTCCATGTGTGTGAAGCTTAGCCATAAAAATTTTAAAAAGGGAGAAAAAAACACACCCTCAGTTCAGCCTTTAGTATTCTATTGCCCCAGACTTACTCTTTCAAATACATTCTTTTAAACATGTGCTGAAACATTCATGTAATACCACTGTCCAAGTACAGATTCGTAAACCATGATTCTATATTAAAGTGCCTGACAAGGAACTTCTTAGAGTAACCTATTTAAAATATCTAAGTCATGGTTTTAGAATATGATTTCTGTTTCTAATATTTAGTTTAATATGTGGATATATGTTACACACACACACACACACACACACACACACACACACACACACCCCTCTGTCAAGAAAAGGCTTAAGTTAAAAAGAGCTAGAGATAACTTAAGGTGAAGATTTCTTGATTGCTGATGGGAGATTGATTTTGGAAACTTCCTCTTAGTTTTATTTATCTCTGTCTACTCTTTGCTACCAGTTTCAGAAAAGTATATATATACATATATATACGTGTGTGTGTATGTGTATATATATATATATATTTTTTTTTTCTTTTGTCAGTTGCCTCTAAGGAAGATTGGCACTCTACACAATAGGATACTGTGCTTGATTTTCAGCTTAATATTCTTCCTTCTCACCAGACTGAATGTGCCTCTGCTAAGGTCGCGTCAGTGCATCTAATTGTTATTTCTTTTGCTCTGAAGTATAATCTCTGGATGCTGTGATTCTTTTAAAGGAAGTCACACTCATCCCAAGAGTGTAGATTTTGTTTTACAATATATATTTGCCTTCTACATTCCTTTTTTAAAAATGTTTATTACAAATCTTAATCTTAAACAGATGCGTTTTGTTTTTGTGATGGAGTGTGCATTTAATAGATGGTGTGAACACTCCCTTCACAAAAAAACTGCTTACTTTAAGCCAAGACCTGACATGATATTTCCTTTCTGAAACACTCCCTTAGTTAGTTATTTGCTTGTACTACCTTTACGTTTCTTCTGTCTCTGGCACGCAGTCATTCCGGTGTTTCACATAAAAATGTGGCCTTTCTGTTCACCAGCTCCGCTCCGAGCCGGCGCTGGAGCGCTTCCTGCGGCGATTAGCGTCGCCGCCCCAGGTGCGCCTTCCTGCGCTCGGAGCCGGCAGCTGTCTTCATTCTGCTGGGTGAAGAGAGTTCTTCACAAGAAACATTTGTTAGTGGCCTAGCAATTTATTTCCTGCTAATTCAGCGCACTGACCAAAATCTCTGCTTTTATCCAGTCACTGGTAATTGCCAGTCTTCACATTTTATCTTTTAAACTTTCAATCTTATTTTTTAAACTTTCAGACTTTTATTTTGTCACCCATAATGTATAAAAATGGGCTTTTAATGTCATAAATGTCTTTATAACATCATTTAGTTTAAAAGAATAACATAATTACATGAATTAAAATATTTATGACTAAAAGAAAAAATAACCCCCAATCCACCACTAATGCAGTCACTAATTTGTTTCTTTTCAGATGCATGTTTCCACATGGTTAGAATAATGATTTCCATACAATTTAGTACCTTACTTTGTAATCAATTAACATTTTATTATAAGGTTTTCCCATTGTGACATAGACTCCTAAACGCTCTCTCTTTTTTTATAACATCATTTTAAAAATATATATTTTTATTGATTTTTAGAGAGAAAGGAAGGGAGAGGGAGAGAGAGAAACACTGATGTGAGAGT